GCACGTACCATTCTGTAATGGTATTGGTTTTGTTGTGCTAGCTGCTAGTTCGACAAGACGTCTCCGACGGCCGAAAACCTAGTGAAGTTTCATTGGATGCAGGGATAGAGCTCAGTTTTGCCCGAAAATCAGGCCTCTTGCAACCTCGAGTGTGAAGCAAGTTTCTGGGATGTGCAGCAACGACAATTTCAATTCTCTGCAGATTGTCAGACAGTAAGTACATGGATCAGGCGAGCTGCACGGCATGGGCTTCAACAGAGCGGCATAAAAGTTGCAGGCCAGTCCAGCACATACTTCAGTCGCGCTTGGATTCAACTTGATGTGTTTGGAGTTCGTTTGGGCTGCGAAGGCAAGATGTTTCTGTAAACCTCAGGATTTAAACTGGGAGCCCAGCGTCAAGGACTTGTGGGCGGCAACGTGTTACTACAACCCGAACAATATGTCGTCATGGCTGCTTTTTGAAGAATGCCGATTCAGTGGCTGCAGGTGCCTACGCGAAGCCCCAGATGCCACGGAGCTTGCGATACAAGATGCTCGGACCAGATCACACGTCTTCAGAGTGCGATTGCAAGCAAGGGCCTGCCATGACAAGGCACAGGACATGACGTATGGGGCGGTTCTCTTGTGTAGGACTTCCAAACATCTGCGTCTTTGTTCGGCTCGGATCGGGCATATCTTTCGGCCTTGCAGTCAGGGTTGTTTTGCGAAAGAGCCTTTGCACGCGACGTTGCGTACATGTTTCGGCGGCCCCGGTTAGTTGCGAGTGCAGCGTAGACAAGGCGTAGTCAGAAACTCCGCCTGCAAGGAAGCTAGACGAGCATGGCGCATCGATCTTTTCTTCGGGCCCCGTCCGACTGCGACTTCTGGAGCTCGTGGCTGCCCAAGAGGACCTCGTTTCACGCCGAGGGTCGACAGCCCACATAGAGTCACAGTGGCCTTGAGCAAGATTTGCACCCTATGGGCCCTGAACATGGCGAAGTTCGAGACTGCACGAGTCTGCTCAATGTTCGTCAGAAGTATTTACTGCAGCTGTCAAACTTGTCAGCGACGACTATGACAGTTGGCTGCCGTCATGGCATTGTTAAAGTATTTACATTTACATGACTTACATGGCCCACAGCACCAACTATATCGTTGCATTGGGCAAACGTGTCCAGAACAACCCTGCCGTCCTCCACTTTGTTTCGCACACACACACACGCACATTAGACATCACCCGGCCATGGCAGAAAGCCCAACATGAACCCAAAGTCTGTTGGTAGTGCTTTATCCGAAACCCTTGAAGCGTAAACCCTGGCAGGAGTGCGAAGGCCCCGAACTGAACCCGGCAAGCTGCAAACCCAAGACCCGCAAAAAGCTGGCTACCTTCCTTTCCGAAAGCTCCAGCCAATATATTATATATAATTGACAACAGAACCTCGTGAGCCCTGCCGTTCCTTAAATCCCGCTTGACCTCGAATTCCCGAGGACTGGGTCATGGCGGATCCTTACGGAGTACTTCGTGGGACTGGGAACAATTTCCAGGACCTTCGAGCCTTTCGCGCCTTGAAGCGGAGGGTTGGACTTGAGACTTGAGAGGTTGGGGACGAAGAGATGCTTCAAGTTTTGTCAGAATAAGATATATTACATACGATACTAAAATTGAATAAGTGGGAGCCAAAAATAATATAATATATGAGAATATCATATAAGGTGCTGACCGAAGGATTGGCGCAGTCTTGCTAGGAGTTGGAGAGAACCCTTGAGGACACCGAGAGGTCGGTCCCACTTCAATGTATCGGGGTAGGTTTACTCGGGCAGTTTTCAAGTCAAAAAGCGAGGGGAACCTTAACTTGGCCATAAGGGCTCTTGCACGCCCTTCTGGCCCACCATGCAGGTGCCAATTTAACGGCCTCGCTTTCGCGACTGGAATCAGGCGCATTATTCTGTCTGTCTGTCTGTCTGTCTGTCTGCCTGCCTGTCTGTCTGCCTGTCATGCATATGCGTGTGTGTGTGTGTGTACACGTGTGTGCCTGTGCATGCAGATGCGCATCATCGCTTGCTTGCACCGTTGCACCTTGCTCCTTCAACTTCCTCTTGCAGCCTCCGACCCTGCCGGAGGTCGTGCAGAGTGGGCATCCTCTGTGGAGATCGTTTGGGTCATCGGGGATGATGCCTTTCCACACCTCAGAGACAAACTCCTCAGCAGGCTCGTGCCTGCGATTAAAACAAAATTCCTTGTGGGCACGAGAGAGACTCTGCTGCTCAGCAGCTGGTTTGCGGTTAGCGCACCAGAGACCCTGCACACGCGTTCGTTTCTTCAGAGCCAGTCGAGCCTCTAAGCCGGAATCGTGCAACAGTCATTGAGCTCAGTCCTTCGAGTAAGTAGTCGCCTTTCGCAGGGAGGATGTGCCGAAGGACGATGCCCTGAAACAGGTTGGGTCGCAGAGCGTGGGTGTTCATGTTCCGAGGGTTGTTAACTGTTAACGTTTGTTGCAAAAAAGTGTGTAGTTAGTAGTTTGTTCTCCTACATTTGGTTTCGCGGGGCCTCGGGAACTTTGGCTGAGGCGATTCTCTCAGATCTTTAGACTCGGGTCGCGACATCATCTGGGATTCGATATGTAGCTGATCCATGCAACAACTGGAGGTGGGCCCGATGCGGCCCTCTGGCAAGCATCGAGTTCGAGGGTGGGCTGGGAGAAGCGGCTCAGGGCCGACAGGAGTTTTTAGAACATTCCGGCTCAGAAGCTTCACAGATTCAGACGTGCGGGGAAAAGTAGACATCCATACCAGTCTAGACCTGGCTGTTTGATCACGGAGAGTATGTCGTGTGTGCATGTGGCATGGGGGTGCTTGCCGGTCGCCGAGGATGTGTGTCGTGCACAACAGGCCCTCCCAGTGGATACTCGCCTGCAGCAGAAGAGGTCGGTCCACTGTGTTGAAACTCGCGGAGAAACTCACGGGAGAAGGGGATTCATAAGGGATTCCTTCATGTCAGGCCGTAAGTGCACGTTTTTGCAACAACAGGCCTGCTCCGCCGGGTCCTGCCTTTCACCTTTCGGAAGACTCTCTGTGGGGGATGGCAGAGGAGTTGCTCCCCGAGCTGCAGACTTCGGCCCCAATCCCAGGGTACCAAATGCACCAAGGACGGCACTTGGGCCGGGCACGGAAGGTTTGCCTTTCCCTGTGCGTCTTGGGCAGTGTTGAGAAAGTCTTCTTCAATGACAGCTTGCGACTTTATGGTTCAAAAGCCTGGACAACGGCAAGAATTTCCACAATATTTCTTGATGCATAAAACACCTCGCAAGCCTGTTTTGTTCAACAGCTCATGCAATGGCCCAAGAATCCAGGATAGAAGTGACGGCACCTCCGGAGTTCTCGGCAGACTCTTGGCATCTTGATTGGCCTTGAAGTTCATGCTTTGCGGAAGTCTTGGGCCTCGGCATGGTGCACTCAAGACGCCCGAACCACTGTAGACTTGAGCCTTGAGGACTCAAAGCCCCACTTGCTGTCTCGAGCTCTCCTTGTCACCCGTCATGTGCCAGACCTGTTCTTCTTGTTTTCGTCTGCGGTAGTCCTGTTCGGATTAAACGTAAGACAACTACCCGTGCAGTGTCTGGTTTCTTTGGCTGTTCTGTATTGTCATCGTCATAGGTACTGTAACTGCTTGCAAGCCAAGGACCTCAGCGCGACGGCGGTGCGGCAGAAGTGGCGACAGGGGGCATCCGAGGACCCATCCAATCGCTTTCTGACTGACAGTTTAGCCTGATGGTGTTTGGGCTCGGCGAATGTAGGTTGTCCCTGGCCCTTTATAAGCTTTCGCCAGTGCGCACCTTGAGAGCACCGGCAGCAAATTTCTGTCAAGCGAAATTCGGCGTTTTCTGCGTGACTCCAGGGTGCACGTGCACTACGAAACGTGCCCTCAGCTCTGAAGCAGCTCGCCGCTAGGATGAGTTGCTGCAGCTGACGGGGAGCTGCTTGTCACGATTCACGCTTTGTTCTGCGTCATGTGTTTCATCGCGCATACACTTGCAGTCTTGGGAACTTAGATATACCTGTACACATGCAGTCTATACTGTCTGTACCACAAGTACATGTAATGTAAATATGTATGTTTACATCCATGCTTGCGTACGTACAGGCACATATACAGTTGCACGCACCTACCTACCCACCTGCCTGCCGTCCTGCCTGCCTGCCTACGGACCTACCGCCAGCCAGTCATCCATCCATGTCCAGCATGATCTCCGCCCATGTTCATTCATCCGTCCGATGCATAGATTAGCATACATACCCAACAAAACATCAGAAACACAACAGAACATGACATACACACATACATGTATAGACAGACGGCCGACCCACAAATCGACCCAGACAATCAGATAATCAGAAATAGGTAGACGTATGTGTGTGTGTGTGTGCGCGCGTGTGCTCGTGTGCGAGTACAACATGTGTCCAGGTTACGTTCGCGTACATTGCACATCTCTCCCTGCGCCAAAGTGCTGCTAGTTCGAAGTTGGGTCCCTAGATTTCAGGTCAAGCCGCCGCCCACTACATGGCGAGCCTGCGGCAGCAGTCTTGAGATTGCCTGCTGGACAGGCCTTTCCTCCGCTTCGGCAGCGATGCAATCAATCGACGGACTGTTTCTTAGGAGTTGTACAGTAAGGCTTCTGGGTGCAAAGAATCTCTGGGCGGCTGTGATGCAGGCTCTTCTTCTGCAAGTTGACCATTGCGTAGCTTGTTTTGGAAGCCCTGCTGGGCGCTGGCACTTCGAAGAAGTCCACGTGCAGGCGTTCTGCCACCAGCATGCTTCATAGAATCCTGCAGAACGGATGCCGCAGCATCCGATCGAATCCGCAAAGGAGATGCTTATCGGACTGTACAGGTGGCAAGTCCAGGGGTGCGAGTCTAAAGCATGCGCGTTTGAAGATCAAGTTTACGCACGTCGAATTCCGAACTGCCTGATGTTACCAACACCGAGCCCCGGGCACATACTCCCTCCGCCCTGTCCCAGTCAGGAGGAGCCGCGCTGCGATTCTGCTGCTTCAAGCTTCAAGCGAGACCTGGAGCCCATCCTTGCCGCGAACCGAGGGTGAGGGCCATCTTGGTAGCTCAAAGCTTCAGGCAGTGTTGCAAGTCCATCGTGGTCTCGGGGAGTCAGTGGCTCAAAGGAGTTTCAAAGCCACGCAAGCTTCTCTGCTTCGCAGCTGCTCTCTGCCGACATTGGGCAGAGCACATCTCGCTCATGTTTGATCAGCTGCGAGATGAAACCAAGAATTGATGCGGGCACATCTCCAGAAGCAGCTGTGCACACAAACTTAGAAAGTCTGAGTTCTGGGGGCGGAGCTCCACGAGCTCAGGCAGGTCGTGCTGGGGTGGAGGAGGATACAGTAGCGAAGCAACATGCACACCTCCTTTCCGAACAAGCCCGCAGCTTGACGAGCACCGGCTCGGAAGCAGAGCCCATGCCGTCCGCTTGTCACATCGCCAAGATCGCCCGCTAAGCAGCAAAAGACAAGACGACGGAGAAGCGCAAGGAGTGTATTTTGGAGGCAGGTCTTGCTGTGGAGGTGGATGGCCAGCAGGCTACCTGTTGGGGGTGTGTCGGGCGGAACGGCAGGGACATCCGGAGCGGGCCATACGTCCAACGCACGGATGTTCCAGGTTGCTTGCCTGAGCGGAAAGTGCGACGTTGCCGCTCAGTCAAGTGGCCCAGCCTTTACGGCACGATCTTCATGAATCTCGCTGACGGCCGCGGGTGGGTGGGGTTTCTCCAAAATCAGCGGAGACGGAGTGGCACGGTCAAGACAGGACAAACAGGACTGCGGATGGAAAGACTGTGAGAATTGGTCTTGAAGCGATGGTGCACGGCCAATGATCAGGGTTCGTGGAAGGTGCCGACGATGTAAGAAGAACAACGCTCCGGCGTGACGTAAATGTGCGCCATGCACACGAGCCGATTATATTGGTTTCTACAGTGTTTCATACATTTCACGTCGATAATTTACGCGTCTGGATTTCACCATATTCGCAAGTGCCATGCACATCGGCATTTACGCAGTTTTCTGTGCTTCTCGTGTTTCAACGGACACAAGAGATGGCCTTGCACAACAAGGATTTCTTTTTTGTAAAAAATGCATAAAAATGCTGTAAATTACAGCACGTCGCGTTGCAGAGGAGTTTGTGTTTCGCCAACTGGGTTTCGCTGTTTATATGCACGTTCTCAGGTATACTTTACAGGAATGCGGGCTTTGAGTGCTTCGGGCATTTGATTCGAATGCTGGAGGCATTTTACAGTTACTGGCTGTGCGCCAAAATAGAAATGCAAGTACTCTGTACTTATGTGTACATGCAATGTATGTCGATGTCGAAGACAGGCGAAGGTAACGAAACACGGCTGAGAGCGAATGAGGCCTTTCCAACAAAGTTCAATGACGGAGTTATGCCATGCCCCCCGCCCCGACCCACCCACCCCACTTATAGATATCCCTGGTACTCTTGTGTTTTTAGGCATGTGTGTCTGTGAATGTCGATGTCGAAGACATGCGAAGGCACCAGAATTTGTGCTCAAACCATACCACATAAACACACAGATCTATATGGTTTCCTATGAGGCGAGGATCCAAAGCAGCAAGAATCCAGGATCACTGATGGCTTGCATATCTTCCAATAGAAATTTAGACTTTGGGACACCCCCGAAAACCAGAATTTGTGTTTAACCCATACCACCCGGATAACTCAAAGATTTACTGTCTTTTCTAGTGTCTAAGGTGTAGGGAATTAGCCAAACCAGCGAGGCGGGGCGCGGTGAACATGTAACCAAATCAGCGAACTCACCCGAGGGAGTGCTGATTCAGGCAGACGTTGTGGAATCAAATACCAGGTTTTGTTTGACCAGTCCTTACACGTGGTTGCAGTTGCGGTTGTGGTGATCATCTTCTGGCAGCTCTGAAATGCCTTTACATGTTGGGAAACTCAAGAGCCCGGTGTTCTGAGACCGACGCCTTGCAAAGCTCGGTGGAGGACTCCCTGGGTTTGCGATCTTGAGAGGGGCTGGGAGGCCAGGGTCAAGGGTTATAAGTGTTTTTGGACTGACTGCGAGTGGCTATGGTAACCGCTATGGTATTGAAGCTTTGGATTTATTTGGTTCGGGTTTCGGGCTTGAGTCAGTTTAAGTAAGATGTGGACATTGCTTCTTTTTGGTTCAGGCTTGTTGCGACTGCAATTGGCCCATATTGGCCCGACGGTGCCGTTTAGTGAATCAGCGGGGAAGGCTCATTCAGAAAGCTTGGCCGCCTGTAGCAACAAATAGTTGGCCTTTCGCATTCAGGAGCATGTCCTGACTCTCCGCACACCACCGGCGCAGGCCTGGATATTGCACTGTCTGTGGCTTTGCGAGGTGCTTGACGAAATCAGAGGAGTTTGAGTGTGCTTCGTTTCGCATCTCTGGGTTTCGAAGCTGCAATGATCAGACTACGCAAGGATGCACTACGGGCAACAGTACAGGCTCTGAGGGTAACTTACAGCAACCAGACATCTGAAGAGAGATGACAGGGACCAGATTAGGCCGGCTTGTGAAACTAGTCCTCACCTGTGGCATGCCCTTTCCGTTTGAGCTGTGCGCGACCAGCCGGGCTCGGAGCGAGGATGGCAAGTGGAGCGAGGATGTCAAGTGCATCAAGTGCCACCCTAGATTGTGCTGTGAAGTCAGACCTGAGCAAACAGAGCTGGTGGTGCACCGCACTATGCCTGGGGTCTCTGTTTTCGCCGAAACTGCAACGCTTGGTCCTGACCAACACCTGGTGGACGAGGTGTTGTCGCACCATGTCCTGGACTGTTTGCAGGGCAGCTGGTACAGGAAAGCGGACGGAATGCACGTAGGTGCAGTATCTGGCTCGTTTCTCGAGGTCAGCGCCAGTTGGCTGCCCCACGTGACGACCTGCCGATTACCTCAAAACATCACCGACACCTTGAAGCTTTCCGTCGACGGAGAAAGTATTTACGGGTGCATCCGGCTAGAGGCGCAGTACTCTATTACCTGGAGCAACGGTGACGTGTGGCTCAAGAAGTGACTTGCGGGATGGCGAAATCAAAGGCGAGGAGGGAAGGGGTCAGCAGAAAGCATTTAAAATAGGCATGAAAAGGCGTCGTGCGAACATAACACAACTGTCGACTAGAACCGTAGCCTATTGGTATCTATTGGTTCTCATCGCAGGACTTGTTTGTTTATTGACCGGCACCGTAACGAAGTGTGCGGTGAGAAAGTGCCTGGCCGTGGCCCACACAAGTACAGTAGCAGCTTGTTCCCTGACGTTTCACGGACATGGCGTCGAGCAATGTCTGGAGCCCAAACAGGAATCATTCGGCTTACTCCCCACCCGGCAGCACTGTCCTGCTGTGAGTTGAGTGCAGGCTGTTGAGAACGACCGAGGCATTTGTTTTTGCGGTGTCATTTTGGAGGGACAAGCAGTTCGGCATGACCGTGGCAGTTGAAGCACCAATGCATGCGCTCAAGTGGTCAGTTGAAACGGCAAGCTCTGTGGTGAAATTTCCGACGGGGCCAGGAGCTTCTATGCAGATTCGCATTTCGGAATTTCGGGGCTGAGAGGAGGCATTGCAAGCCTCAAGCCTCTCTCGTGAGATGCCCCAAGTTCCCAGATCCAAGCACAGGTCGGGAGCCACTCCTGTGAGCAAGGCGTGGACTCCTGGTGTGGCTTGGCTTTGGCAAAGAGGCGCAAGGCGAAGAGGCCTTTCCCTGCTGGCAAACCAGCTTCTTGCTGCATGCCGTGCCTATGCCCCGATTCATGCTGTTCCGAAGGTTCGGGCTCTTTGGGGGGCCGTGCACTGATCCCTAGGTGAGGACATGGCGACACGCTTCGCGCGCCTGGATCCGCGCCAGCGCCTGGCGCTCCAGGCGACCGGTTTCTGCTTGAGCCCGGGCCAGGAGGCCCAGAGAAGTGCTGCCTTCTAGATAGGAGACCTCTGGACCCTGGATTCCTCCTATACCAAACTGTAACCTGCCTGTTTTTCATGACTCCTTCGCTGATTCAGGGTAGCCTCTCAAGTTTCTGATTTCGAAGGAGCTCCTGGAAGTGGCAGAGAAGGCCCAAGCGCCTGTCGAGGAGGTTTTTTTTCTGGAATGCTTGGCATCTTGCGTGGGGCTTCGAGTCTACGAGGCTTTTCTGCAGGGGTGGTTATTCGTTTTGTGGTTGAGGTGTTGGGTGTTGCTTTGGATGTCTACGTTCTGGGGCGTCGCCTTTTGCGGGCTTCATCGTGGGCACATGGGGTTCTCAAAATTTCGGCTTTACGAAGGGGTTCAACAATCTTATTATGTCTGGCTTGGGGTCTATTGCTGCTTGGAAGTCTGCGATGCACGATCGTGATTTAGGAGTCATTCAGGAGTTGAGGATTGTTTCATGTTGTTGTTTTTTGGTCCCGGATTGGTTGTGAATACTGCGCAAAGAATCGAAGGCTTTTCTTTGGGAAAGCTTTAGGCTGTCGGCTCCCAGACTTTCATTGCTCGGGACTTGTCTGTGAGGTCTGGCTCTGGGGGGTTTCGGGCTTACGGTTTGAGGTTTCTGCTTGGCCCATAACCTACAGTTACAGGCACTTGGAGGAGGAGCCCGGCATGCGTTCGTGATCTTTGAGGGTTCGGGAAGTGAGTTTCGAGGTTTCTGGAGCTGAGTCTCCACATGCATGCAGGAGAGTGGAGTTCGTTTCGATAATGCATTCCAGTTGTCCGGCATTTCTGTGTCTTATAAAGTGACCCCAACTGCTGTGGCTTCTCCCCAGCATTCTTCAATGTCCCAGTGTGCGCACCATTGTGCACCAATCAATCCGCGCCAGTCTGTGCTTGCATCTTCGACCAGGTGCCCTCGCGACCAGCGACCCAATCCGGCGAGAGCGGCGGAAAGCAAAAGATGCGAAGGGATAGCGTCTAGATCCTAGGTAGGGTATAGTGAACTGGGCACACCTGGCAAAGCAGGATTTCTGCAACTTTGGTGTAGTTTCGGCAACATGGATTTGACAACTCCTCTCCGCGTACGGAAGGCTTGCGTGCTGGGCTTTGGTTGCGAAGGGTGCCAAATCCAGATGGTGGCTAAAGTGTCCTCCGCAGGGTTGTAAAACGTGATGATTCCAACAGGTTTTGGGAGAGAAGCGTGTGAGTTCGGTATAGCTTGGCCAGTAGCCGCAGCCTGCCCTCTGAGATTTCACGAGAATTGAAAAACTGGCATATCTTCTGAAAGCCCTGAAAATCAAGGCTCCGGGAGCTTTTCGACGCCTTTGGATGGCCGGGAACCAACGGGGCCGCCGCAGCCTTATCGACATGTCGCGAAAGCTAGCCCTTTGCAGCTTGCGAGAGTTGTCTACAAACCTTCTTCCTCTCTAACTGGTACGTATGATCATGATAGTTAACGGGCTGCGGGGGCGTGGGGGAGCCACCGCCCCCCTTCTCACTGATTTCAATAATCTTTAGGGGTCCCCCCCCTCCCGTCATGAAGGTTTGCGTTAATTGATTTAGTAGCAGGAGGGAGGGGGCCCCTCTCCTTCGGAGGTTTTCTCACGCAGTGTGATCTATCAATAACTCCAAAGCACACACACACACACACCGTCTCCGCGATGTTCCCGAAAACCTCTTCTGCTGCCCTAGAGCTTGCAGTAATGCGAGAATGCTTATGATGTCTACGAGTGGATGCGGTCATGTGTGTCAGTGGATGCGGTCTGTCAGATCGGAAAACCGAGCCTTTTCTTCACTGCTCCCTTGCTGTTCCGACCTTGACCTACTTGTAGCTTTCGCAGCCCAGATCTCAAGTTGATGCAAGAGGAGCCAACACCCTCCTGCTTGCCTTTGCTGCCTCCCATACACTTTGCGATACACATTTAGATTCGGTCCTGCTTCAGTACAATCGGAATTTGAGCCGAGTACTTGGGACATGCACTCCGCGAAAGACTAGCTGACCAGCACAAGCTATGTCGGTTAAGTTCTGTTGATCCTGATACGCTAGAAAGCATGACACGCTAGAAAGGCTTGCCTGCGCTGCTGTGGCCCTAACCAGATATCTTGGCGTCTTTTCCAACCTCAAAGTCAACTTTTCAAACTTGATAAGTGGGAGCTGTCGGAGGCTAACGGAACGAGTATGACCAAGTCGGGAAGCAAAATGTTCCCAGCGCAAGAGAGAGGCCCCGATCACTTCCGAAGGTGGGCCAGGAGCTCTCGTCGCTCGAAGCTCGTCGTCCCGCGACCACAAACCCCAGAATCCAAACTGGAGCAGCTCAGTGCGATGGTAGGTGCTAGTGGAATCATACTGTACAAGCTCGCCTTTGCGCTTTGTAGGATAAGTTCTGGATTAGTTCTGGCTGTTGGTCTGTCTGCTCATGTGGACGCATTCTTGGATTCTTGTCATTGTTTGTACCTGCCCGTTTTGACCCATGTCCGTCTCCCTGACCCTTGTCCCGTATACATACACGCGTGAGGATTGAAAGACAGGTAGAGAGAGGCCCGCTTCTATGGAAGTCGAACCATTTGGAAGTGCCCTCCGAACTAGACACCCCGAGGTCTATGCCTTCCTCCGGCCTGCAGCCGCAAAGCTAGATGCGGCACGGCCCAGACGAGAGGGATCTGTTGTTCTGGGGCGCTTCAGCTTCATTGTGTTGAGCAATGCAGCCAATCTTCATTATCTTCTGCTATGCATGCCAGGATGAGATGGAGAGAAGCCTCCTTTGGATGTTTTTGGGATTTGGGGTACTTGTTGTTCAAAGGTGTAGCTTTGTGCAGCTTGTACAGGCTGCCGGTGTTTTTCCTCTCCCCAAATCCCAGGCCCGAAACCTGGGACTTGTCGACTTAAGGCCCTCTTGGCCATCCTGTCAGCAGCCGCAGCCTACCCCGAGGCTCCTGCACAGCGGGAAGATGAGGGATTTGGGCTCGGGCTCGGTCCAAACCCAAGAATCATGGAAAAACAATGCCAGGGGCCTATTGGCAAATCACTGCCTGTACATAGAAAAAAAGGAAGGATGAAAGCCAGAGACATTACTACCCGTCTGTCTTCTCTTCATTGTTAGCCCCTTTTCTGCTTAGTTACAGAAGCTCTTTGGTTCCGGCATGCCTTGGCAGAACGTGGAACCTCGAAGCGGCAACCGCAAAGACGAAGTCCTAAAGCCCGAAGCTTGATGGGTACTGGTTTAGGGTTTAGGGTGTGCTCCCTGCTATGGATCTGTGTTGGTGATGTCCCAGTAGCAGGCTCAGACCCTCAAACGCCATGCCAGCCAAGTGCGAGTGTGTGAGTCGAAAGCCCAAAGCTTTTAAGACTCCACCAACCGCAACCGTGCATCCTACCAACCGAAACAGGTTCCAAAAAATGCGGAGCATCGATGAGCCAGTTTCGAAAGCAACACGCTGAACAAGATAGCATATGTGAGCGATTATCG